GTAGCACGCCTCCTCACTTCTCTGTGTGTGTGGTCTCTGTCTCTATTTATATTTTGCATTTTCCTGCCCACTTTATGCCTCCTCCTAGGCCAAGCATCTTGTGCAGGCCTCTCAGTGTTCTGAGTTCTGATTACATCAGAAACTAACAACATTGTAAATCAACTATACTTCAACTAAAAAAGAAGAAGAAGAAGAAGAAAAGGTTCTGAGTTCTGTTCTGCTGTTTTTTCTTTTCTTCTTTCTTTTTTTTGGGAGGGAGGTAATTAGGTTTACTTATTTACTTTTTTAATGGAGGTACTGGGGATTGAACCCAGGACCTTGTGCATGTTAAGCACTCACTCTTCCACTGAGCTATACCCTCCCCTCTTTCTGCTTTCTTTGGAAAAATAAGTGTGAGGTGGTGTCCTTGGCTGAAGATCCTCCTTCCAGCTCCTCCAGCACCTGTTTGCTGGCCAGACTGAGAACTGCATATTTGTACTTTTCCAAGCAATGCAGGGCAGTAGAGACTGGGAGCCTAGAGCCTGGAGCCAAGTAAGCCAGCCTCCTTTGGGAAGGAGAGACCAAAACAGCCCTGGGAAAGGAGAGCCTGTCTCCTGCAGCGCCCCAGATACCAGCTGCCTCAGGCAGCATTAGAGGCTGCCTCTGTGGCCTAGTTCCTTTTGTAATTTGCACAAAAGACCAGAAGATGGGGCTCTTGACCCTGGAGTCAAGGGCCAGAAGCACTGACTTTTTCCGCATTTGAACTGGAGGAAAATCAGACCTACCAGAGCCCCCAGGAATCCTCTACCTCCTCATTCCCCTCCCTGCCTTGCCCACACAGCTGACTCCCATGAGGCTGCCATGGGGGCTGGCTTCTAGGGAGTGGAGAATCTTCCCTTTGGTCATTACCTTTGGCCCCTCTTGAATTACCACATTGCCAGAGTCGGTGTAAATGACCCCCTGCCTCAAGTTTCCCTTCGAATCCATCTTGCCCTCAATGGCAGATTTTGGCAATCCTACCACTTATATAGTGTTGCATAGTGGCCAAGAACTCTCGAATCAGACATACTCATCCTTGACTCATCTCATCAGACGAGGCTCTCCTCACCTCCTCCGAGAAGCCCTCCCTGACGGCCCCATCTAAAGTAGCTCTCCTAACCCCCATGCCCATTACTTTATCACATAACTTTACAATTTACTTCACAGCAGCTCTTATAACCTGTAATTGTCTTGTTGTTTACTTGTTTACTCTTTCCTCACTAGATTGTAAGGCTCAAGAGGGCATGACCCAGTTGGTCTTATTGCTGTTTCCCTAACAATCCAACACAGGGCTGAATACACAGATTATCAGTAAATATGTTCTGAATTAATAAATTCCTGAATCCCAACTTAATGACCACTTGACCTTGAGAAAGCTGATGAACTTCACTGAGACTCAGTGTTCTTACCAGTGAAATGGAGAAATAATGGAGTGTTAAGAATATTAAATGACTCAATGCATTTACGTCACTAAACCCAGGTCCTGGTGCATAGAGGTGTTCTCCAATGTCTTCAGCAGTGTCCTACTTACTATTATATCAGAGAGAGAGGGAAAAAAAAAAAGTCTGAACTAATTAGCTGGCTGTCTCTAATTTGGCCATAGCTTTGTATTACCACAATTTTTACTTCCCACTGCTCTTCTCTGTAACTTTCTGCTTTGGTCCAAATCATGGCTATCCTGAATGGGTCATGTGCATTCCTAGTGTTGAAGTCTTTGCCCAAGAATTGAGCTGCTTGGTCTCCTTACCTTAGCTGGACTGTTTTCAGATATAGTCCAAACCCACATCCTCCATGTTATGTTCCTGAATTGTTTAAAGTCATAAAGATCATTTTCTCTTCTAAATTTTTATAATCTTTGTTGTCTGTATTGCTCATGTCTTTTGTTTTATGTTCTATTATCTTGTCTTCATATTAACATATATCCTGTTTCCCTGATTAGACTGTAAGCCCTTTGGAGATATGTTTTTTTTACTTAGTATTCATTTCTTTTTTTTTAATTGAAGTACAGTCAGTTATAATGTGTCAATTTCTGATATACAGCACAATGGCCTAGTCATGTTTATACACACATATATTCATTTTCATATTCTTTTTCATTAAAGGTTATTACAAGATATTGTAATATCTTGTGCTATACAGAATTTGTTTTTAATCAATT